AGTGTGTTGTTCTCATGGGATTGTGCTGTCGTGACATGGCATGACATAGCAGCCGTGGGATTGCGTGACATGGCATGACATTGAGAGTTGCTCAAACCTTTGGCTCTCAGGGCTGGCATCATGCTGGTGGCCTTGTTGCGCCAGCTGTTCGGCGCGCTGGCCGCCATGCCACGTGATGAGCGCAGCGCTATACTCTCGCTCCTGCAGATGCACCTGCGCTCGTTGGCAGACAGAGAGGACCGCGTCCTTTGGCAGCGGCTGTGTGCACTGGAGGTGGCAACCTTCGGGTACACAGATGGTGTGCCTGGAGACGATGAAGGCCATGAAGGCCATCAAGGTGATGAAGCCGATGGAGGTGACCGCCTTGGGAGCCATGAAGGCCATGAGAGCCATGAAGGCCACGAGGGCCATGAAGGCCATGAGGGCCATGAAGGCCATGAGGGCCATGAAGGCCACGAGGGCCATGAAGGCCATGAGGGCCATGAAGGTCGTGAGGGCCATGAGGGCCACGAAGGCCATGGAGGGGGAGAAGGTCATGAATCTGAAGACTATGTCGAGGTGGAGTGTCACGAGTATGGACTTGTAGATCCGTGGACTCTTATCAAGCGCCGAAGGCTGCGCTGATCACTGCGTTGATCCTAGAGGGATGGATTTTTGAAAAGGGTGTGAGTGAAGGGTTGGCTGCAAGGGATGGCAGGACATCTGTCCGCCACGTGCAGGGCATTTTTGCTCGCATAGCGTCATTATCACCATGTTTGAACTATTGTGTGTCATTGCACGTTCGTTCATTGCGTTGTCGTGAGCATTGCGTGATTGCATGTCATGAGCACTTCATGAGTTCATCCGCTTTTGCGAGTTCATGAGCATTGCATTGCATGATTCAGTTTCATGACCGCCAAGGCTGGGACGTTGCCTACATCAACCCAAAGGAGTTGGGAGAAGGGTTTGGGAGGGTTGATGTTGGTATGCATTTATAATGTATATATATCCTATACGCACCACTGTTTTTCAGCTTCACCATGGAAGGGTTTTAACGTTCCATTCAATCCCATGAGAAGTTGAGTCGAGAGGGTGGCGAGGTTGGTAGTGTGGAGGCTTTGTTGTTGCAAGTTCACTCCATGGGGAGTTGTTGGCCTGGCAAGTGTGTTTTGGGTTGGGATTAGATTGTACGCGTGGGTCTCGGCCTCAGCCTTCGTGGGAATGCGCTGCGTGCAGGAAACCTGTTCGCTACGCCCTCATGGCAGGGCACGCTCGCCAATGCGCAGGGCATGCTCGCGCAAAGGCTCACTGCAGGTGCGGTTATTCGATGTGTTGTTGTAGTCAGCTTGAAATGAACCGGCGCAATAGTCTTCAGCAATGATGGTGGATGTTTGATGATGCAAAGGTATAGTTGGCTCATGATACGAGTGAAGCAGTCATTGATGGTCATGGTAGAGTTGGCTCATGATACGAATTGGATTCATGGTACAAGCTCAGGAGTCATGGAGGATTATTGTACACTTGGCTCATGATGCATTGTTCGAGCGCCCTCACCTTTGCAGTGGTGTGAAGCGTTGTCAGCCTTGTGGTGTGGAGCGGGGTGGCCTTCAACCGACCTTGCATTCAGTCAATCCATGACATGTTCTTGACCCAGAAAGCTTGCAGTTGCGATGTTTTTTTACAGGTTAATCTTTTAATAGGTGAAAGTACGATATGTGTAATGCTTTTGGACATATTATGCAATAGAATAAGACATTCTGTAAGCCTTGCCCACAGAGTATCACACTGTGGAGTTCAAATACTAAATACTGTGGCATGGAGTGTCATATTCTGCAAACAGTAGCACATCAGGTTGCATGGAGTTCGTTTGTTGCTGAGGTGTGTGGGATGCAGTCGAACGCATGCCCGCTGGAGGCATGGGCAGGGCGGTTGCTCGCCTTAAACGCAAAGCTCGCATACAACAGCCTATTTACAGGAAAGAGCTGAAGTCATTTCTGCACCTGTTAGGAAACAAAGGCTGAGAAACTCAAACACATATCGGTGTATATATCGTGCGAGTTCATTCAGGCTTGAATTGTTCTTTGACATGTGGGAGTGACCTGCCAAACGCAACGCAGTCTGAAACACATTCTTTTTCAGTCACGGTGGGCAGGACAGGCGTCCGCCCATATGCAGGGCTATAAGAAGCTCGCACGTGACCGCGGTTGTTGCGTTTCGCATGCGTGGCTCGAAGAGTGGACACGATTACCGCCTTTGTTGTGTCCAGGGGATTGGGTGTCATGAATGCAGCTGTGAAAGAGCAGCTTGATGCTCTTCTCAAGCAAGCTGCTGAAGGCTCTTTGAGCAAGACCATGCAGAGTGTTTACTCGTTGCTGAAAGACAGCGGCTACATGTATCGTGCCAGGGTGTGTTCCCGCTTTGTTGGGGTGCATGAGGCCAACAGGGACGGAATGGGCGTCAGCCCGGACCACGTCCACACCCTGGCTGAGTCCTTCCATGAGATGGGGTTTGTGGCCTCTGAGACACGCATGATGTGCTTGGAGATTCCAGCTGGAGATCCAGATGCTGATAGAAC